ACGTCTCGTTATTCGTCAATTAATATCCGCCACGCATGTGAAACGTTCACATCTCTACTAGTCATCAGCGGCACACGATGCATTGTTTTTTCTTTTTGCTGGATTGCTTGCATTTTAGTAAATCACTAGAAATTCAACGTTCGGTGTGGTGCAATTCTAGTTATTTACTGAAATGCAAGCAATCCAGCAGGAAAACATGCATCGTGTGCCGCTGGTTTAACGGGAGCGGTCGCTTTATTATCTTCTATTACGAGCGAGATACACCGTAATATGCATTTTAGAGATTAAAATGGGTAGAGAACTGATCGGGTTTTATTCGATGAAGTACAAACAAGTTAAATTGAAGGTTCATTCGCTGAACGGGAGCTAACTATTCCAGATCGAGAGAGCTAGATCTTTGTACAAAGGAAAAAAAAAAAAATAATTTCATTAAATAATGACCAATAACACGACGCATTCTGATGTCGAAAATACGATTGGCCTATCTTTAGAAAAAAAGAAAGAAGATGAAGATCGATATATGTTGTAATAATCTGTTTATAAATAAAATGAGTAATTGATTGCGAGTCGAAAAGGATGGGTAAAATAAACCGATTTTGGCCATCGCAGAGATAAGTAAAAACAGTATGCTTTTTTTTGTAATTTTTGAATTGTTAAATTTGATTCTGATCATTAAAAATGTTTAATTTGTCGGAAAAATATTAAAATCAGCATATGAAGCTGTTAAACATTTAAGAAGCTATTATAAGAATGACATGTTAATAAATGTATGTAAGACTGCATAGTGAAATAAATATTAGTAACAAGGGACCCATACAAGGTGCACAATTGCTACAGCATAGAGAAAATTATCCAAGCATCTTGACTCCCTTTGAATCACTTTTCACCCAAAAACTAGACCGGAACTAAAATAAATATAAATAATAAAATAAATTTTATTTTTTTTTATTTTTCGATGCCTATCGTAGGCATATCTTGACTCCCTTTGGATCACTTTCCACCCAAAAACTAGACCGGAAATAAAATAAATATTGTGTGTGTGTGTAGTTTTATTCTAAAGCATTATTTGAAAATTTGTTATTACAAAGAGAATTACTTCATCCTTTATTATACATCCAGACAATATAATAATTCACATAACAGAGGAATTATATCTACCTTTGCAATTGCCGTAATGTCTATCGTAAACAACGCAGTTGTTTAAACATTTTGTATTTTCTATCGACTTCGTCATTAACCGATCGTGCTGTCAAGCTTCGTCCCCGCTTACGGTTACTAATAAAATCCAGAATAATGTCGAATGTTAGTCACGAGATTCGATACCGATAATGTGCCGAAAGAAAATGTGATTGTGACTAATAAAGCACGGCTAACCAGCCATATATAGAGCAAATCGGACCGAGGTGTCGTTGTGTACGATCATACGATGGCGCGCAGTTCACTTGAACCGAGAACACCTGCGCACACCTGTTAACACCTCTTGCGCTTGAAACATTGCGAGACGGAAATGACATTGGCACGCGCCACAGGTGTACCGTTTTATGTTTACACATCTCACGGCTGTCGAAAATAGCACAGACATTACAAGAGATCGACCAAAGCGCGAGCGAATGAATCAATTCAACACTCGCGACGGAACTTCAAATTCGAAAAGTACTCGAAAAAAAAAAAACTTGTTAGAATAAAGGTAAAACCGGAATAATACGAAAAAGTATCTCAACTGTAAATTTGACTAGAAAAAGTTTTTTTAAAAACAGCACAAAAAAGATGCGACAACATAACGTAAATATTTGATAAAATAATTAGAAATAAAAGTAAAATTATTAACAAATTATGTAATTGTGTAGCTCGCTTAATTCATACAATATAAAACTATTTGTGAAACTTGTTTGTACAAAAAGTAAGAAATATACATATGTGTATAGGTATGTATATGTATACACATATGTATGTACACCTATATTATAATCGTTTTCAAAAAGATCTTTCTTTTTTTTATCTGTTCGTTATTTAATGCCAATTTTATGACACGTTCATATAGAGGTCATAAATATAAACACACAAACTAAATTTACGTATGTGACACAGGACACATTAACGATTATTTGAACTTCGCGCGTTTTTGGATACTGAAGATATTGGAACGATATTCGCAGTTGTGCTACAGTTTATGACTATTAGCAGTCTATATTTAAATAGTTAAAATAATAGACAGATGTTTACTCGATCAATTTTAATTTATTCAAATTCTAATTGGATTAAATTTTATTCGTACGCATAACAACAATAGGTATTTGTGTATGTGAGAAACTGACTGAGATTAACTTGTGCAAAGTCAAGTTATTCGAAAACAAGCTGCACGTGTGTCTATTGTAATTTATTATACCTCGTTTCGTCCATGAATAGCAATTTCCTATGACAAATATACATGTTACATGTGCAAGAAGATTACGCGACGCGACAAATCAATGCATAATTACGATAAACGAGAGTTAGGATACGCGCTATATAATGTAGAAAGTTATTGATTTGTAGTAGAACTCTTATTACACACGAAAAAATTTAATACAAATATTTTGAGAGATAAAATATTTAAACGCTAAAGGACAGACGATTAATTTATAAAAAGACTCTTTACATTCATGAATTTATTTATTCTATTTCCATAAAAAATATAAAAAACTGACTCCAAATTCAATCAAGACTTGACTTGATTCCCATTATTTAATCGACATACTTTATATTCTATACAGGGCGTTCCATTTTAATTTCTCCAGGTAAATATCTCGAAGAAGTTCACACACACACACGCGCGCGCGCGCGCGCACAGAAACACACAGTTGCTTTGCAAAAAAAAATACGAGTATGTAAAAATTGCATATTTGTTAATAAAAGCAATTGTGTATTTGCCAATCGATTTATCTTATTCTGTGCATAAAAGTATTAAGGTACAATTATCAAGAAATCAATAATTTACGAGATATTTCATATTTTATTGTGTCGAAATATGGCATGCTAAAGTAATTAAATATTTCATAAAGTATTGATTTTTCGATAACTTTATCTTTACTTTTATATGCGGAATAATTAGAAAAATCATATTATTTAAAAGAAATCATACCATTCCATTTAAAAAAATAGAGTGACTTCCATGTCTTGAAAAATCAATTTTTTTGTGAAATTGATTTTATCATTATTTGTTCCCCCTTCATATCACCTACAACTTTTATCTGAAACTTTTTTCGTATCTTGCGTATTCTTCGAGATATTTGTCTGGGGAAATTAAAATAGGACATTAATATGGCCCACCCTGTATATACATAGAATATAGTGTGTGTATACATATACGTATATGTATATATATAAAATTTCTCTCTCTATATATAGAGAAATTAATATTCTTCGAATAATAATATCTCTTAATTTATTACATCTCAGTTTGCTTTTCATTGCTTGCAAAAATTGTCATCCTCGATCATATATAAAATGACAAATAATTATTCTGAAGAGTCGTCAACTCTCGACTGTTGTCAAAATGCATTCGCGTCATACTTGGCAATTAAAATGTGCTGCCTTAGAAAGAGAGAGATAAGCAAACTTAGCCAAGGATCGCAGGATTTCGCGGCGTCGCGACAACGCAGGCCAGATTTATTTTCACGATCAACCGTTATTGTTATTATCGCTTTCGTGACGCAAGTTACGCGCTTCGCTGACAATGAGAGGAATATTCCGCTGGACTTTCGACTAGCACAGAGGGAAGCAGAGAGAGAAGTAAAGAGAGAGGGGAGGAAGAAGGGGTGAAAGAGAGAGAGAGAGAGAGAGAGAGAGAGATATGGACGGGGGAGCGGTGTACAAACATTACTAGAGAATCGTCGCGAATGATGATGGGAATGAGAAGAAACGGACATCGAGTAAAAAGAGAAAAAAACATCCTTTCTATTATTGATAATAAGCGTATAACACACAAGCTGTATTATTGCCGCACTGGAATCACAACAAATAGTGATTTTCGAAGAGCGACAATCGTTCGCGTTCTAAGATAACAAATGACCGATAAAGAATATCGTTGGACGATTTATTTTCTCAGTAACGTAAAAGAAGCAATACACTGTTAAATCTATATAGTGTCAAATTTAACCCTATTTAAGTCGCCACTGCTTCTACTCAGTATATAGTTATTTTTAACTAAAACAGTATAGTTATTTTTAAATAAAACGATGCAATTTAACCCAAATCTGGGTTAAATTTGAACTGTTTTAAATTATTCAACTCCATTGTTTTAGTTAAAAATAACTAATTATTAAGTAGGAGCAGTGGCGACTTAAATAAGATTAAATTTGACACTATAGATTTAACAGTATACAATTGGAAAATTTGTATTAATATGTTTTATATGTCTCAGATAGTTTACTCTCAATTTTTATGTTAATTTAACACAAGATAAATATGTTATATAAATGTTAGAAAATAACATAAATATTATATAAAAAATTAACAACAAAATATGTAACACTTTTGATGAAATTTGGAAGTAAATTGAGAAAATATTTCTTAAAATTACATTCACAATATGTTAAATTAATACATACATTTTATTTATCTTAGATTTGTTTTAAAACTACTATTATTTTTATATTATTTCAGTTCATTTATCATAAATTATTTTAACACTAAGAAATGTCGAATATCAATTTTACACAAAATATTTAAATATCACAATCACATTATATTAAATTAATACTCTATAGTATATTAAAAATTTATATCACAAAAATTTTAAATAAATTAAATAAAATTAAGAATCAACTTCAACACAAAATATTTTTTTCTGTGTAATAATGGTCTTCAAAAAAGGGTTGATTATCTAACGATATCTAATTAATTGAGAAAAATTCGAAGAAAATACTCTTCTATATACATTTTAGAGAAGATGAATCTTTCAAATATAATAAATCGGTATAATAATAAAAACGTTGAATAAACAAAGAGATTAGACTCACCTTTAGTTGATGCATCTGTTGTTCGTGCAGTTCAGCTAATTGTCGTTCCTGGGCGTGATACTGTTGCCGGAGAATCTGCTGTTGGAGCTGATGATGTTGCTGTAGCTGGAAACAAATCCAGATATCTCAAGGGTAATGTAACATCCTTAGCTAAAAACTAAATTATATCAAAAAGTATCTAAAGCTTGAGTAATCAATTTGATTAAGTGAAACATTGTCGACACAAGTCGCTGGCTAGTCACACATTTCTCTTCTTTCAACTGAAATCGTCACAAAGCGTTCCTGTCCACGATATGAGAGTTTTTTTTTTCATATTGTAGTATATTAATTTATAGCAGGCACTTATTTTTTTTCGATTCGCGGAGAATAAAGGAGTCTTTCGATAAAAAAAAAAGGGAATAAATGGAGATGCACATTTATGCACGGAGCTTTTCAATATGTCTCTGAATAAAAGCTTTTGTCGCACACGTCGAGTGGAAATGCGAAAGTATGCATAGCGACGATGCTGCCGGTGCCAGTGCAAAGTTTCACGCTAACATGGCGCGCATCCGACACGTTTAATCCAATTCACCATGTCTCTCGAATGTTTTTCGTTGCCATTGTCATTCGTCGCACGTGGGCGACTTTGAGTCGCCTTTTCTCAGAAGGAAATGCGTGGGTTGCTGACACAGAGACCAAAGCGATTTCGTCCAATTGGTTACGTCCGCGAATGAACGGACACGCTGTCACGCGATTCTCGTGCATGCGTTGCACTTTTTGCAAGCACGCATCAAAAATCGAACACGTTATTATCCGCTTTGAAATCAGAGTTGCGTTGGTTCTAAAATTAATGAGCGAGACAAGATTCCAGAACTTTAGAATTTTTGTCTCGCTCTTGTAGCCATTCTAATTTCTGACTGACATTCCTGAAGTTAAATGAGATTTATTCTACAGTTTTAAAGAGGCAAATTATGTTTTTAAATAAAAAGACAATATTCGGGAATTTAGAAAACTACTCAATGAATTTGTTTGAATTGAATTTTATACATGTAATTACATAATGTTACGTTTGATAAAAAAAAATATTAATTTTAATTTTTTGTGCGAAAATGATATCATATATTGCTGCTTGTATTTGCAATTCGTGATGCATATCTCCATGATTTGTACGATTTACGTTCGTACACAGTCTAATTTAAAAAATCAAAAAATTATATTATAAAATAGCATTGTAATTATAGCTTTTTCTCGAGTATCTTTCAAATCACTACATTTCTTAAGTCATTTTAAAAATTGACAATTTTTCTCAAAATTCATTCTTTTTTTTATTAAAAAAAATAAAACACAAATAAAAAATAGCTCGAAAGATTGTAGAGAATGGCATAAAAGATTATTCATATCAATTTTCGTTTGAAAAATATTAAAATATATAGCTAATGTAAAAAAGTTGCAAATTTTACGTCAACGAATTTACGTGTTGAGAAAAACGTGTTAAAAATTTGAAGATAAAGATTTTCTAAAATAACATTTTTAAAAATAAATTTGCGCGCGCGCGTACACATACACACACACATTATATACATATCTAATATTTAATTATATACATTATTGGCCTCTTTAAAAATAAGATTTAACATTATTCGTCTCGTTAAAAATAAGATTTAAAAAATAAGGAATGATCAATATTTCAACAACTTCAACACAAAATTGATAAGAATAGCCTTTAATTATTCTTCTAGATGGGTTATAAGAAAGCAACAGTATTGATGATAATATAAATTGTTGAATTTAAAAGTCAATATATGAAATCTTCAAAACGACTATAAGCTGAATCAACTTTACAGTAACATTTTCCAATATAATGCACAAAATATATATTTACAAGTAATTATATACAGACATTGGATTTTCACAATTAATGTCATGAACTAATTAATTTAATATGAGATTATCGCGATTGACAGTTGAACATCATTTTGTCACATCATTCTGTCGTCATCATTCGCAATATTTGCATATCAATTCATTATAATCAAAGCTCATCGAATTCTGAAATTTTCAAATGAGTTTCAATACATCGCGAAAAAATATCAAATTGAATTGAAGTACTGAATTAATTATTTCAAAAGGACTAAAATTATGAAATGAATTTCACTGAACAATATAGAGCAAGGACTCTCGCATTTATTATGCCTCCGAACGAGAGTGCGATCTCAGGATGGAAAGGACACGCTCTTCGGATTACGGTGTTCGCAGTAGGATTTGGAATTTATGTCTTATTGTTCAAAAGGAAGGATTCATCTAGCGGAAGATGGAGCTTACGAAGAGCTCGAAAGACTCCAATCGAGCCAGATAACATTTCGAATACCGAAATGAAAGAGCTCAGGTATAATTATTTTCAAGAAAGAAACGCTTTACTTTATTTCGATGTCTTTCCTTTTCATTCTAAATTAAAAATGATCTTTTTACAAAAAATCCAAACGATATATCTGTTCAATTATCTGAATGATATCGTGTGTGTTTTACTCAGAGTTTTATCTAAATAAATTAAAATGCAGAATTTTTATTTCACCCCGATTCTTATTTAAACTTACATAAATTCATATTTGCTATAATTCGCTTTATTTAATAACATGTCCTTCTTCTTTTAATTTGCCAATTAATGTATCTCTGCATAATATTGTATATTTCATGTTTACTACATTCATGGACATTTATGTTTATGCTGCCTATTATCCCGATCAAAATTATTATTTATATTTATATTAATTATTATTATTTTATTTATACTTTTACATTTTGCAATCCTTGAAGTAAAATCATTCAATGTATATCGTGAAATACACATGTATGTGCAACGATGCACTATCGTTTCTTAGCAGTGATGACAGATCCATAGTGGCATATAATGGCGAAGTCTGTCCGATTTGTTTGGGAGTACCGAAGATTGGTGTGAAAGCTCCCTGCGGTCATTTGTTATGTGCGGAATGCTTGGCGAATTATTGTGATGTTAGAATCGCACCTGCACCACCACCTTGTCCGTTATGCAGAGCGCCGTTGAATTCAGTGGCCTTAGTCTGTGACTTTGTTAGTATAACGTGCACTTCTACTAGTCGAGAAAAGTGACACCTAGTGGTTAAAAAGTACAAAGAGAGATAAGCAAAAGGAGAAGAAGAAAGAAGAGGGAGAAAATGTAGAAAATATCGCTGATATAGAAAAAAAGATTCCCTATCTAACAGTTTCATTTCCTAATTGATAGCTATAGAAATGATGACGAAAGTAACAAGATTTTTATTTTATTTTCGATTATCTTATTCGGTCCTTTTTCTCTGGCTAGAAACAGTGATCAAAAGTTTAATATAAAAAAACTGTAAAAATTATTCGTATATCTATATATAAAAAAAAACTACAGATGTTACATTGGTTTGATTACAGGCTATTCTAGGTCCGAAAATGCTAGATCCAAATACTATCATGGTGCGAGATTGGATACGCGAGTATAATAATCATCGAGGTTTAATGACGTCGGTACGGTCGATTCTGACGACGCGACTTGTCCTTTTCTTTAATATCTTGACACTCTTTCTGATTGTCGGATTGATTGCCGCGAGACTTCAGGTTTTTGAAAAAATATAAATTTTTCTCTAAAAGTCTTACTGCAAAAAGTTATTTTTATTTGTCAGCGATAAAAAAAAGAAAGGAAATATACATTTATCGTTATATCGTCTTTTTCGAAGTGAACAATACATCCTTCGAAACTTACTGCAATTTATTATCTAACACGAATAAGAAACGGATAAAAAAAAAGCAATAATGAGGCACATAGTTTCATGTATGACAATGACAATACTAATACCCGATTCGACGCATACAGGTAATGCCTTGGGAAAATTGAATGTCCGTGTGCTTACATTACTAGTATCGATAATTGTGTTAATTATATGCGTCCAGTTCAAGAGCCAAGGTTAGTTGCAAGGCGAGCGAAATTTACTGCTATGCCTCAGAATATTACTGTTAGTAATTCTTAAGAACGTTAAAAAATTATAACACGCTGTTAAGTACATATTGAATAATATTATTCTCATTGTCGATCTTTCTTAAAAAATTATTAATTCCTTTTTTTTTTATTTTCAGAAAAAGTTTCAGACAAATTTATCTCAAGAGAGCAATCAAATGAATTATGTGAAGAGTAAAAATCTATAATTGGCATGCGACATTTTTGAATTATAATGTGTATATTTCGTGCGGAATAATTAATGACATCATTTATCAATGACATGATCAATATTGTCGATGCATTAATTGTCGATCCGAATAAAATTGTAAATCAAGCAAACTTTTTACGATTTTTTTTTACTTATTTTACTTATTTTTAAATATACGATATATCTGTAAGTATAAAAAATAACGTAAAATGTGCAAACATTTTATTTGAAAGTAAATTTTATTATAAACATTTATATATCTTTCATGTTTTCTTTGACTGTCCATAATAATATGTAAATTTAATAAAATCATATAACATATCATAAATATAGACATAACAGACATATGTAAAATAATATAATTGTACTCACTCTTCATATAGAAGATACATATAATAGAGTAATAATATCCACAAAAAATAAGAAAATTATATGGCAAACATATGTGAATTCATGCAATATACATAAATATGTATAAATAATAAATTTTAGGTAATCATAACATTTTTCCCGAATTAAGAAATTATAACAGCTAACTTATTTGAAATTTAAACGTTATTTTAGAAACATTTTAATTCGATCATATACAAACAATACCATAATAAAAATCGATATTGTGAACTATTTATAATCGTCAATCGAAGATTGATACACGAGGCGAAGCACAAATGGCGCATTAAATTAATTCACATTGCTGCGTATCAATAGTATTGTGAATTCTGTCGTGGAAATACTCGCGACAAGGTAATCGCTCGTTCAAACGATGGATAATTGAATTATATTCGCTGAACGAATGCATTACGCAACAATACGTTCTCGCGCTCCAAAATTTCCGCCGGAGACGCTCGCCGACGATCATCGTCAGACGTATAGAATCGAGATACGCAATGTCCTTTAGTCCACGTGATTTTAATAACAAATTTCTTAAAAGAAAAAATTACGTAAAAAAAACTCGAATTAATTATCTATTATCATATCGCTTGAATTAAATATTATTAAATTAATATACAACGAATAATAGACAACTTTAATAGCTTCTATGAAATAGTGCTTAAGGGGTTATATGCCACCTTTGGGGTTTTAAAACGATACCTAAAATTTAGGATTTTTTTGTGAGTAAACAGATAACTTTATTTAAAATTTGCTTAGAGGATATTATTATACATATTTAAGAAACTAAAAAAATATTTTTTTATTTTTCTTATGTCCAAAAAATGGTGGCGCACTAGTCTACACTTGCGAAAAATCAATATTTTAAAAAACCCCTACATACTTCACTAGTCTTTAATATGTAAATAATAAAAATTCTTTGTATTTTGTTCAAGATCAAACCGTGTGCCTGGAATCTTGTACACTGATTTGAAGCTACAAAAAAAGGGATTCCGCAAGTAGGCCAGTGCGTCGCTATCTTGGATATAAAAAAATAAAAAATATTTCTTTTACCTTCTTATATACATATACTATATATATATATAGGTTATCCTACGTAAAGCGGATCAGTCATCTCAGAAATTTTTTAAATTTTGCACAAAGATAGTACTTTGGGAGAGAGAATTTTGTGCCAAAAGATTTTTTTATTTCAAAATTAATCGAGATATAAACAATTAAAAATTAGATCACTTTATTTTTCAAAAATTTATAACTCTGTTACTAATAATGCTAGCTAACTTCTTTTTTTTTAAATACGCTAAAAATGTTTTAGTTTACGGGAAAAAAATGAATATTTCAAAAAGGTTTTGTTTTCCATTGTTTATTTAACAATAACCTTTTTAACAAATTTTTTAACAATCGGGGAGAGAGTCGAAAAATCTGAAAAAATATTTTTTATATATATTACTTTCAGTTTTCCTACATTTTAGAAAAAAAAAACTCAAGAACATGTTTTGCCACGTTTTCGAGAAAAAAATTTTTTTAGTTCTCGATGTGGGGAAAATTTTTCGCCGCGAACAACATATAATACTATCAGTATAGTGGAAGTATTTTGTAAGTTTGGCTGTTTTGTAAGAGTCGCACGCTGAGAGTCGAAAGATTTTCTCCACATCGAGAACTAAAAAAATGTTTTTCTCGAAAATGAGACAAAACACGTTCTTGAATTGTTTTTCTAAAATGTAGGAAAACTGAAAGTATATAAATAATATTTTTTCAGATTTTTCGACTCTCTCCCCGATTGTTAAAAAATTTGTTAAAAAGTTTATTGTTAAATAGACAATGGAAAACAAAACCTTTTTGAAATATTCATTTTTTTCGCGTAAACTAGAACATTTTTAGCGTATTTAAAAAAAAAGAAGTTAGCCAGCATTATTAGTAACAGAGTTATGAATTTTTAAAAAATAAAGTAGTCTAATTTTTAAGTGTTTATATCTCGATTAATTTTGCAATAAAAAAATCCTTTGACATAAAATTCTATCTCCTAAAGTACTATCTTTTTATAAAATTAAAAAAATTTCTGAGAGATGACTAATCCACTTCACGTGAAATAGCCCATATATAAGTGGTGCACTGACCTACTTGCAAAATCCCTTTTTCTTGGAATCCTTTTTATTGTGTACACACACACACACGCATATACGCACAATAATGTCCTCTAAATAGATTTTTAATAAAGTTATCTATTTATCCATAAAAAATCCCAAACTTTGGTATCTTTTGAGGCCTCAAAGATGGTTTAACCTCTAAGAAAAAAAACAACTTCAAATTCATTTAAAAAATCTATCCTCAAAATTGTTAAAATACGTTGTTCATATACGAAAACTACAGTGTTATAGTATTTTAATATTTCCTTGTGCTTTTATTATGAAGAAGCTATTATTTTCATCGATTTGAGGTGAAATGTTTCCATCATGCTCGCTTGTTAGAAAATTAGCGAGAGAAATAACATCCAAAACTCTGAAGACCTGTTCTACATAAAGTATTTGTTTCGCACAAGTAAAATAATAAAAGATTATGACAACTTCGTTTAAAGAAGATAAATGTGTGCCAGCATTTTAAAACATTAAAACTAAATAAATTGTGCTAATACTATGCTATACCTATACCTATAATGGGTTTTTCTTATTTTATATATTTATATATACATATAAAAGAAAAATATAACAACAAACATGTATATTTTATATACCTATAAGAAAGCAGTTCGTTTTTATATTTGCAGGCAGGATTTAATTGCAATAGAATACTGCAATTGTAAAATATCACATGTATGAGATATATTTACTTTCCGACGGATTCTCCGCAGTGTTAAACCTGTCCTTCGCGGAAATATCGACGTCCTTGAACTTAATTGCGATGTAACTAAAGCGTGCACGATCGATCGAATTCAATCGAAACTCAGCTCGGCAATGGTAATCTAAACTTCGTTCTGTATTCCGAGTAAATTTCTGTAGTAACAGTTACCCGTTCGTTCATTTCAATAATATTCGTAAGAAAGTTATGGAATATGAATATACGATTGATATGCTACGCAGTGCGATACCTGCAGCTATTAACATGCAAATTAACTTCATTATATAAAAAAATTAAACATTTCTTAAATAACTCGGTTTACTAAAGAACCACCTTAATTCTATTTTTCTTATCTAAAACTACTAAATGTTCTAGTTTTTTCCTGTCGTCCTAATTGTAAGCTATATCAGAAGAATATTCAAAGGTCTTCAGCTTACAATTAGCTTTTATTACGAGGTATTTATTTACTACTCATTTTTCTGACGCTTTAAACATAACTCCTTTTAATTATGGAATATACAATGCAAATTGTTTTTCCGTCACGTCTAACTAATCATAAATTATAATGTAAATCATAATGTTACAAAAATGTATTAATTTTCTTACGAAAGTGATTACAATTCAATCTAAGAGAGATATTCATGCAACTTTAAACGTATATTTAAAAATCACTAAACGTTTTGGCATAAAGCCATTTTCAGTAGCCATTACAAAAATTTTATTTGTAAATTAACATACGCGTGCCCTTTTTTCTTTCTTAATTTCAATTTATTGCTAAATCTATGACTGTTTTATTAAAAATGAATTTATAATAAAAAATAAAAAGTTCCTTGTCAAAAAATTATTTCGCTTCGTCCTTCGACATGATGTATATATGCAAGGCTCTTAATTATGCTCAAATTGTTCATTTCATGAACGTTTTCTTGTTTTATTGTACAGAAGTTCCACGAAAGTTTTAGAGCGAGAATTAGAGCGAATTTGGCGAAACAATATTATATGTACATATTACGTGTATTTATACTTGCGTAAACGCATCGGTCGTACGTTACCTCGAGTATCTTCTGCTGTAACGCAGCATGCTGACCGTGCATGTTGGCGGTATCGGCGGCTGCAGCGTGATAAGCGCCGGAAGTCAAGGTGGCCGCGGCCGCGCCTCCTCCGCCACCGGCGCCCAAATCCCGCGGTCGCGGCATCGGAGAGCCCGGCGTGTCTCTAGCCATCTCTATGCACATGTAACAACAACAATATACGTCCGATAACATGTCTCGATGAGTGCCGCCGTCGTCGTCACCACTATGTTGGTGGACGATCGTTCTATAATGATGATGTGGTGCACCGATCATCTTTACGTTCGAACTTTCCGCGCGCGGATATCGATCGAATGCGTTCGCCCGCTGCGCGTAAACCCTCATAGTTTGTTTTTTTGTAGAATGCTTCTCGTCAGTCTCTTATCTCTCTCCCAACGACGTAATCATCAAGTGGATAAAAAATTAATGTTTTTCGTCCGGCAAATTAATCTCTAGAATTGAACTCTTACGATAATTTTGATGACGCGAGATAAATACACTGTGTCATCAAAATTATTTTTGATACACTTTATCTAGGGTAAACTAGGGTAAGATGGCCATAGTTTTTAAAATGCAAAAAACATTGTTATTTATGTTATTTTTGAATAGTGTTTGATATATCACTTCACTTGAACTTTAAAGTTACTAATATTATCGACATTAAAGAGAAAACACTTAATAGAAATGAAATATTATCAAAATATTACAACATGTGCATTGGCCATCTTACCTAACTTTTAGGGAAAAGATGGCCATGGTATTAAGGAATAATTGACCATACATATTTTATGTTAAAGATGTATGAAACATTTTATATAATAAATATATTTTTATATATTTAGTATAAATACATATATATCATTATATATATTGCCTGATATCGTGATGCTTTCTATAGAAACAATTTTACAGTACCAGTGCAGTTTAGTTTTTATAGAAAATCAGCAAAGTATACTGATGCTTTCTGCCTGCAAGCGTCATATAAATCGTTAAAAATAAAGTTAGTCAATTTTCTTAATTAATTTTTTCTCACTGTGCATACGTATATTAATTATATTTTATTGTTAATAGACATGACAGATTTTATAACCTCACTTTCTAACGTTATTTTTAATGATTCATATGACGCTTGCAGGTAGAAATCAGTAGATTTTGCCGTTTTTCTATAAAAGCTAACTACTGATATTGTAAAATTAATTGTTTCTACAGAAAGCAACGCGATATCAAACAAATACAAGATTCTAACCAAACTAACCTGATAATACTTACGAAGTAAATATTGCAATATTTACTGAAACTATAACAAAATCAAAGTGAAAAATCTTAATATTTTCTTTTGTTGCACAGTATCCACAATTAAAAAGTCAATTTATAGTAACCTCTCTCTCTCTGTCAGTTTATAATAAGTGACATTTCTTCTTAATGATGCTGCGTTTGTAAACCTGTGCCCTCTATCGTATTATCTTTGTTTAACATTCGATGAATAACGAGGATAAAATGATACATGGAGACACTCAGTAATGTTTCCAAACGCAGCTTGTTGGCCAACTTAACATAAAAAAAGTGGACCATCTTATCCGAACTGTAAAGGAAAGATGGCCATAGTATTTATAAATAAATAATGAAAATAAAAATACAAATAATAGGTCATATTATAATTTATGGATCTTTTATTGTGTGTGTACGTTGATTACGACAGCTTAACTGTAATTTATTTGATGTTATAGCAGCTTTTAGTGAACACATGTAAAACTTTGCCTACAGTTCGAAGTAAAAATATTATACAATATTAACATTATTGTTATTTTGAATAATGTACGCACATAAACTAATGTAAATACTGATTATCTTTGAGAATGATTTAGTGAAAAATGCACTATTTCGCAATTATTAGAGAAATTACAGCCTATGATCATCTTTTCCGTATAGCCATAATACCCTAGTTTACCCTATATGGACTAAAATATGCGATTCTAATTTGCGTGGGAAAAAAAGGTATTCGTCTTGTGGTCAATCGAGATTAGAAGTCGCAACACAATTGATATTAAACTCAATCTCACTTCAAAACACTCTCGTCGCATTCCTTTCGCTTTACCGTCGCTGAAAAATCGTTCGTAGTCTCACTTACTGACGTCTCTCATAATTTGTTATCAATACTCTTTCAATACACATAACATGATAAAAAAAAAAGTTCACTTCCTGTCACCTAAGCGTTGTTTTTCAATCGATATACAGAAATAACGATACGCCACAATATCGAACGCATAAATTATCGAAAAAAGAAAATCACTTGCATCCATATCTCATTTTAACTTGTGTTAAAACTCCTATGTACGATATTTAAGATTATTGTTAAAATGTCGCTGAGGTAGGAAATATTAGACTGAGAAATATGAAAATCCTCACGCATCAATGTTGGAAGAAGTTAAAGTGCCGCTCGTTCTCGAATCATTATAGTTTTCAAACCGTCCAAGTTTCTCAGAAACGCGCGATTATAGCAATCGCACCTTGCGTGTGGCGGGGCTGGTTTTTTTTCTACATTTCTTTTTCTGGGTATTTGGAAGGTTAATTTCGGAATGGCCTAATGGAGTCATGAGAAAGCGCGTCCCTCCTCTCTTCAATGGGTCTTCTCAAATCGCATCCGCGCGCTGGGGACACACCGTGTATTTTTCCGTTCACTCGCGATATCTCACGATGATCGTCGAAGAGGAAGATCGTAGAATTTTGACGTGGAATGCGCGGTTGCGCGTGTTGCTGTGGCGATGTTTATCGCTTTGATACTCGCTCGCGGCGCGATAGCGCGGCTATTTTTAGCATTTATTACGCGCGACGCACGCGTACGCGCCACACGAATGGCCACTTATCGCTCGCTTGATTTGCGGCTCGTGCGACTTTCCCATTTTTTTCTCTCTCTCTCTCTCTCTTTTCGCGCCTAGTCGCGCCATAGAAATTTGTTTTCAACTTTTACGTTCCCATCGCCACGCGTCCAAGAGTTTTAATTTAAAGGCTCACTTATAGAAAACACGAAATCACGATCCGAAATGGAGGAGCTCTCTCGAAGTGAAGGAAACCACCTGCAGCCACTCCGTTCGTGTGACGGCACCTTTCGTCGTCAGAGGTCCAAGTTCAAACGCTATCATGCACCGCTGTGCGGTTGTCGCCAATGTATGTTTGCCAATGTGTTTGTAAGCGTGTCACATAAAAAAAACAACGTTTCGCCAGAAACTTTTCTCCGTAAACAAATTACGAAATCTCAAGGTACACATGGGTATCGGTAAAATCACATTCACATATTCCAGATATTATGCTAAAAGTTATACAAGTTCACTTCAGCCGCTACGTTTTCACAATGCCACTCTGAAATTGCAAAATTATTGCCTCCCTACGCATTTTTATTATCGTCATCCGCATCAATCGCAGCAATCGTCCGGAGTGAGTTCTTTATTCCGGAGCGATCCTCATTAAAACCCGCGCGATCGTGATGATCGGAGCTTCACAGGTGGGACATCCGCGTCGCGACCGCAGTCTCTGTGATCCCGTCACGGCGCGGCGTGGCGCGCGGCGGCGGCGCGAGCGCGCGCGGCGCGCGTGCAGGAAACGACGGCGGAGAGACGAGGAGGAGAGGAGGAGCTTTATATACGCCGCTCGGCTCGGCAAAAGCAACGGTCAGCGCTAAATTTAGCTCGCACTGGAAGCGATTACGCGAGCCTGGGAGCGAAGATGAGGTGAGACAAAGAGGGAGAGACTATACGCGACGCGAGACCGAGGGGAAACCGAGCGGAGAGAACGCGAACGGCGAAATTACCCGCTCCGGTAGACGGATCGCGACTCACTACATAGCGCGACTCGCGATAATTTCTCATCATTCGCAGGGAGATGGGAGAATGCAGCGCGGCGCGCGGCACGCGGCGAGTCGCATCAAAGTGGGGAACCGCGGATATTGGCCAATCATCAATGTTGGTGACTCGCTGTTGGTCGCTTATTCACGTGTTCTCTTACTCGATTCTACAATGGCTGCGTTCAGCAGAAAAAGCGGCTTTGCAACGGCTGTTGTAAAATTCTTTAATATGATTGGTTTATACATTTAGATCCATGAAGAACTAAAGGCAAGAACCAATCATGTTAAAGAATCTCACAACAGTTGCAAAGCTGTTTTCTCTGCTGAACGCAGCCAATGTATAGAGTCCAGGGTTGTACATCTACGCGTAAAATATAATACTCTACTGTCTTGTTGGGTAGCTTGATCAGGACGGACATCTTCTATCCCGGTTGAAGTATTGCATCATTTTTTGAAAAGGGTGACAAAACCCGCCGGGTGTTTTGCTCGTGCATTGTAGATATACGTTTTGGAAGAACTTCGATTTTGTTCGTTACGTTTTGGAAGCACCTCAATTTTTTGTTTTTTTAACTCTCGATGACACACTTAATTGGGCTTGCCTTAAGGCGATGCTGGAAGGTAAAAATTACCGACAATTGCAGTTGGAACGATAACTTCAAAAATACTGAATGGAATTAAAATCGCTTTTACAGGATTGAAATAGACATAAAATGTAATGGGGCGAGCTATTTTTTTGTAGTGAAAACACAAAAATTAAAAATACCTTTTTTCGGGTCGTACAGCAATCTTAACCTATCATCTGACGTACACATGTCATTGGTATAAAAGTTCTGTA